TTGGTACCAGGGATTGACTTCAGGGGGCACTTGACCACTGAGCCACATCCCCAGCCCTTTTTTTTTTGTATTTTATTTAGAGAGAGGGTTTCACTGAGTTGCTTAGCACCTTGCTTTTTGCTGAGGCTGGCTTTGAAATTGTGATCCTCCTGCCTCAGCCTCCCAAACCACTGGAATTACAGGTGTGTGCCACTCCACCCAGCTGACATTTAAAAAATATATATTTATTTATTTTAGTTGTTGATGGACCTTTGGTTTGCTTATTTATTTATATGTGGTGCTGAGGATCGAATCCAGTGCCTCACCCATGCTAGGCAAGCGCTCTACCACTGAGCCACAAAACAAGTAGGTCTACATATCAGGATTTAAGGTCAAAACACAGGTAAGATCACTCACGAAACTGAAACTTCCCACGGTATAGTGCATATTGGTAAAAGAAAAATTTTAGTGACACAAACAGAAGGAAAACTTTGCACAATTCAACGTGTTTAAAAAAAAAAAACACCATACCTGAGAAATGTCCCCTGAGTTGGTCGCAGCAGGAAGGAGCATTTTTCTTGATGCCCATCAGTGAATGGATTAGAGATGCTAACAGGTGCTTCCTCCAGTTTCCCGGAGCCCACTTCCTGCTGACAGAGAGGACAGTGTCGGGGCACACTGAAGCTGTAGATGGATTTCTTACAGTGGGTGAATTTAATTAAAGGCTTCCCGGCTTCTGGGCAGTACATAGCTTTCACCTTCTGGGCTAGCAGGCGAGGTCTCTGGAGACTTCTTTTCCACAACAGTAACCTGATCCACCATGAGCCAGGTAGGATTAACCAGTAACCAGACCGCCCCATGGGCTGGCTTCTTAAAGAGCTAGTTTCCATTTGTGCTCACTTACAGGCTCCGTGCAGTTTGCAACGAATGACAGCCAGCTCCTATTCATCCTTCAAAGCCCTATTTTTTTGGTGCTGAATTTCTCAGCTTTCTTCAGTATTTTGTTGAACTGCAAGCACTGGACTCATTCCTACCAGAACTCTATTATTTAATTAGTCATTTATTCAAGTGCTCACTGCAATCCCAGCAAATCTGGAGGCTGAGGCAAGAAGATCACAAGGTCAAGGCCAGCCTTAGCAATTTAGTAGGCCTTCAGCAACTTAGGGAGACCCTGTCTCAAAATAAAGGACTGGGGATTATAGCTCAGTAGTAGAGCACCCCAGGTTCAATTTCCAGTACAAAAAGAAAAAGGAAAGAAAAGGAAAAAAAAATCAGTCATTGAGTTTTATTATTCCCATTAGTCTAAGAGCTGCTTGGGTTTAGAGACTCACCTATTTCTTTTAATTTAAAAAAAAATTCTACTTTTTTAAATTTTTATTTTATTTTTTGCATCACTGGGGATCAAATCCAGGGGTCTTCTACCACAGAACAACATCCCCAGCCCTTTATATTTCTTTTTCTTGGTGATTGGGTCTCACTAAGTTGTTGAGGCTGTTCTTGAACTTGTGATCCTCCTGCCTCAGCCTCTGGAGTCATTGGGATTTCAGGTGTGCACCCCCACACCTGGCAGTGGTGTGCTTTTTCAACATGTAGCTTCGTGTCTTTATTATTTCAGGGAATTTTTCATAAGTTATAAATTTGAGTATTTTTTCTTCAGGAAATTCTGTTTTCTGCATATTGCATTTTTTTTTTTTTGGTCTATCTTCACCATTACTTGCTGTGTTTTAAATTGAGATCAAATTTATATACTATGAAATTCACCCATTTAGTGTACAATCCAGTGGTTTTGAGCATATTCACAAGGCTATGCAACCATCACCACTAAGTTTAAAACATTTTCATTACCCCAAATAAGAAACCCCAAACTATTCACAGTCCTGACCCATTTCCCTTCCTACGAGCCCCCGCACCACTAATTTTTCTTTATGATTTTCATATAAAGGGAATCATATGGTATAGGATCTTCTGCATCTGGCTGCTTCTGCTTAGCCTAAGTTATCAAAGTTCACCTAGGTTATAGTATGTCTTCGTTATTTGTTCAGTTTTATGGTTAAATAATATTCCATTGTATGGGCATACTTTGAATATGGATGTTTGGATTGTTTCAACTTTGGGCTATTACGAGTAATTCTGCTATGAATAAGTTTCACCATATTCATGTGAAAGCTGGTTATTTTTGTTTTTGCGGTACTGGGGACTAAATCCAGGGGTGCTCTACCACTGAGCCACAACCTTAGCCCTTTTTATCTTGAGACAGGATCTCACTAAGCTGCCCAGGCTGGCCTTGAACTTACAGTCCTTCTGTCTCAGCCTCTTGAGTTGAGGGGATTCCAGGCATGTGCCCTTGCACCTGTCTCATGTGCAGATTTTTATGTGGCGGGGTGTTAAGAATACCTGTAGAGAGAACCTGGGAAGAGGTGAGTAAAGGACAGACACATGCACACAGTGTAGAAGGCACACAGGTGGCTGTTCCTCTCTGCTGCGGTGTTTATTAACCCAAGAAAGGCTACATATTACCCATCACCATGACTGCATTCTAACCAGTATTCCTTTAACCCCGAGTGCTGGCTAGCTGAGAGAAGGTCCAGGTTCATACAAACACAGAGCCCCTTTCCTCCAAGGACGTTTCTGTGGAAACCAGATAGTGCACCTGCATAGTTATCCTATCCTATCCCTTATCCTATCCCCTATCCTTCAAGGGGAAACTGCTGGGCATTCCAAGCCTGGGTAACTCGTTAAGAACATTGCTATAGCATCCGGGCATCCCGTGCTTTTACACAGGAGTCTCCCAATAGCCAGGTATTCTGTGTTTTGCATAGAAACTTTCTAGTTACCACGCATGTCACAATCACGAAGTTTGTCAGAGACCCCAATCCCAAACACAATCTCCCACAGCTGTATCTCTTGGTTACACCAGTACCCAGGGGAATTTCTGAGTTACATGGTAACCTTTAAATACTTTGAGAAACTGCTAGACCCTTTTTCCCAAGTGCCCACATCATTTCCATAATTTATGAGCATTCCAGCTCCTCCATATTGCCTACGCTGGCCTGGATTTACTTTAGCCATCTGAGTGGCTGTAAAGTCCTATCTTATTGCATTTCCCTAATGAACATCTTTTCATGTGTGTGTTGCCAGTTCATATGTCTTTGTTAGGGAAATGTCTATTCAAATGTTTCACACATTTTCTAATTGGGTTATTTTTTTTGGCAGTACTAGGGATTGAACACCCCCAACACCTGAGTGCTCTACCACTGGGGGCTATGTCCCTTGCCCTTTTTGAGACAGGGTCTCACTATGTTGCCCAGGCTGACATCCAACTTAGATCCTCCTGCCTCAGCCTCCTCAGTGCCTGGCACAATGTTTTTTTTTTTAATGCAAAAGAAAAAGCATTTGATAGAAATAAGTCCATTTTAATGATAAAAATACTAAGAAAACTAGGATGAGAAAGACATTTCCTTAATTTGATAATGAATACTTAAGAAAGTCTGAGGCTTTTATATTGGTAAAATATTATATACTTTGCTTAAATTCAGGAACAAAACAAAACATACACTATTTCCACTTTTTCCCCCCACTATACTGAATTATAATGAAGTAAAACTGTCATTGTTTGCTGATAGCTCAATATATTTTTTGGTACTAGTGATTTGAACCCAGGGCATTCTATTTCTGAGCTACCAGCCCTTCTTATTTATTTACTTAGCTAAAAAAAATTTTTTAATGTGTCTATACACAATACCTTTATTTTTATGCAGTGCTGAGGATCAAACACACTGCCTCCCACGTTGAGCCACACCTCCAGCCCAGCCCTTTTTATTTTTTTTATTTTGAGACAAGGTCTGTTGCTCAGATTGGCCTCAAATTTGGGGTCCTCCTGCTGAAGTCTCCCTAGTAGCTAGGATTACAGGCGTGCACCACCGCAACCACTTGAGCCCAGTTTTTCTTAAAAGTAAAAAAAAAAAAAAAAAAAAAAAAAATTACAAAGCGACAGGAAATCACTGAAAGATGGAAGGCAAAGGACATGATGTCATATAGGTTTTAAAAATAGATTTGGCACTGTGGCCAAGGCCTGTAATCCCAGCGACTCTGGAGGCTGAGGCAGGCAGCTCCATGCTAAAATTTAAGTTAATTCAGTGTTTCTGGTGCTTTTTCCATGATGCCCTGATGCCATCAGCAATTTAGCGAAACCCAGTCTCTAAGTAAACAAATAAATAAATAATAAAAAGGGCTGAGGACGTGGTCCAATGGTTAAGCACCCTTGGGGTCAATCAAACCAAAATAATTAATAGTGATAATACAATAGATTATTTTGGACAACAGACTCGGAGACCCGTGGTGAGGCGGTTGCCCGGGCCCAGGATGGGGCGGAGGTGGCTTCTCCTGGGACCCTGACAGCGGGTTTGGGGGAGACGGGGATGCACTGGGCGCAGAAGCGGGATCTGCAGGAGCTGGAGTTGGGTCGAGGCTAACTCTGGGGGTTCCCCTAAGAGGAAATGGAAGACGCAGTGCAGTGGGGTTCCAGCAAAGAAATCGGGCACTGAAACTCGGGGGGAGGAGAGAGACTGACAAAGGGCTGTCGGGAGAGGGGCGAGGGGTGTTCGTCGGCGCAGGTGAGATCGGGCGGGGCCCGTGGACGCGGGCTCCAGGCTTCTAAGGAGCCCCAATGAGGTGCAGCTGCAGCACTTGGGGATACAGTGCTCAGGCACGAGCTGGCGGGGGCGGGGGATGAGGTGACTTAGGGGATGCAAGAGGCCACTAAGGAGTATTCTTGGCGACAGGAGCAGAATCCTAGGAACTAACTGTCCTGGAAGCGACTGGCAGATCTAGGACGCCTTCAGGATCCGCCCGGGAGGCTTGGAAGAGCGGACACGGAGCGCCGCGAGGTGTGGGGGACCGCCGGGCTTCACACCCGTTGCGGAACCAATTGTGACGGCGGCTAGGTTTCCGGCCGGCGCTACAAAGGTGCAGCACGTGCGGGGGCGGAGTGCGCCGACGTGACGCGGCTGCGCAGGATGGGCCGAGCCGAGGCCGAGGCGGCAGCGGGAGGCAGCGGCGCGACGACGGCCCCCCAGCCCAGCCACCATGAGCACCAAGCAGGTCACTTGCAGGTGAGTGGGCGACGTCCGAGAGCGCCACGCCACTTCGGGCCGCTCTCGCGAATCCTTGGGAGCCGGAGGACTCCGGTCGTGACGCCAGGGAAACTGAGGCTGGGACTCGGGGAAAGTTCCTCAGCCGTTCGCTCTGAGGCTTTCGAGGGCGGGGCGGGCGCTGAAGCCCCAGCCGGGTCCGGAGGGTGCGTGGCTGAGGCGCCGCTGTGCGAGTGGGAAGCCGGGTCCCTGTGGGCTGGGAGGACGGACGTGCTAACCCGGCCCGGCCGCGGGAGCTCGTGGAGCTTGCAGTTCGGCTGGGTGTGGGGGGGGAATTCGGTGTTGAGTGAAGGACGCTACGGGCGCCGGTGCCACGCAGGGGTAGCTCGTTAATGGGTTCTCGGGGCCTCGGGAAGCTGGGGCTTTGGAAGCCGCCTTCCCTTCGCAAGTTTGAAGACTGCAGCTGCAACCGCTTGCAGAGAGTTAGCGAGTGAGAATCGTGTGGAGAACGAGAAGGGCGTTCCAGCCCTCCTTGTGGAAAAACGAGAATCGTGTGGAAAATAACGAGGCGCCTATTCCCAATTTTTTTTGTTGTTGTTTTGCTTTTCGGAACCGAGAATGGACCCAAGGGCCTTGCACATGCTGAGCAAGGGCTCTACCACCGAGCTACATCCCCACCCCCTTTATATTTTATTACCTATTTATTTTTGGTGCTGGGGATTGGATCCAGGTGTAGCTTTACTGTTGAGCTGCACCCCAGTCCTCTTTTAGTTTTGATTCGTGAGACGGGGTCTTGTTCCTCAAACGGGGATCCTCCTGCCTCTGCTTCCTGAGTACCTGATTCTAGGCGGGTTGCCTTCATTTCAGGTTCTGTGTTATTGCTAGTTTCACAGTAACACCTGTGAGCAGATATTGTTCCCGTTTGACAGGGCAGGAAATAGAGACTGAAAGAGGTTAAGTGCTTTCCTTTATCTTGCTTAGAGACCCATTGAGGAGCAGAAATTAAATGGTATTGGGTGATTTGTCATAGAAAACAGAAAACATGATAGCTGTGCTGTGACTGTTACTTTGAAATAAAAATTGCTTGTGTAACACCCTCATTTTATGGTAAGCTCTGTGGCTTACTGGTATTGATATAGTCCTATCGAATTGAAAGCTTGGAAAGTACAGATTGAGCATCCTTAATCTGAAAATCCAATTTTCAAAGTGTTCCCAAGTCTAAAAGTTTGGACCTGATGCCACAGTTGGAAAATTCCACACCATGGAAATTTTATTTCTTGTGCCAGATTATTAAAAATATGATATAAAATTACCTTTAGAGGGTGTGCACATAAAATCTATATGAAACAGTGAATTTCATGTTCAGATTTGGTACCATCCTCAGGATATGTCATTATGTAGCAGCAAATACTCTAAAATTCTAAAGCATCTGAAATTCAAAGCACTTTGGGTCTCAAATATTTTGGATAAAGGATACTTATCCTGTACATGTTTTATTTGGTTTCAGTAAGACCTATGTGGAAAGCATGTCTTAAAGCTAATTGTACAGTTTGTGTAATAATGATCTGTGTTGTCACTCCATTAGTTTGAGGAGTAGAGTTCTGCTAGTGTTAGATATTAACTAATTTACCCAGGTGGCTTATGTTAAGCAGTTATCAAATTGCAGTTAGTCTGAAAAAATACTTTGCTAGGTTATTTGTACTAGAAGGTCTGTGACAACTGTACAAGTGAATTTACTTATTTTTTTCTTGTATAACTGTTTCCTGTTGGAGGAAGTGTTCCTAGGTCATTTTATACTGCAAAGCAAAGTATAGCTACCTAGAAAAATCTCTCTATTCTCCACTCACTTTTGGTTTAATTCAAGTATTCTCATGCCTGCGTCTTAGATTTGTCCACTTAAACATACACTGTTATGTACTACTTTGTTATTGAACTACTGCAGAGTGTACAAATGAGGAAACATGCTGAGCACGACTTGAGACTTGTTCAGAATTTCACATCTTAGTGCAAGAACAAGAAATTAATAAAAAAAATTTTTTAACCTTTTGCAACTGGAGATAGGCTAGGCTTAAACTTTAATTCTGTTTCTCAAACAAGGGTGTCCTGCAGGATATTGCTACGTAAATAAAAGTGTGTTGGAATGTTGGAAAGCTATCACTCCTGCTAGTCACCGATTCATGGTTTTTGTGGGGCTCACATGTGCTCGGGCTTCTTTTAAGTGCCTTGTTAGTGGAGTAGTATGTAATCCATTAACCAGCTAGATGTATTCCACAGTTTATGAAAGTGAGTTCAATTTTGAAAAGTCTTCATCTTCTAAGTGGCAGAGGTGTGACATCGGGGTTCATACTCTGTCCTGAGCAAGCTATGCCATTAACATAGGCCAAACATGTTTGTCTTTCCACAGTGTCACAATTTATTGAATAACAATTCACTTTCAGTAGCTGCAATTCACTGAGAGTACTCGGGTCACCTGATAACCATGAGCCAGGCAGTCTCGTTTTTATTCCAATCTTAATTATACACATATGTGTGTGTATATATTAGTAATTATCATATATATGTACTTTTTTTTTTTTAATACAGAAAGGTTAAGGTGACCACACGGGTTTAGGAATCTGAAATGAGAGCAAAGGCAAAGACCTGGATACAAAGGCAGGGGAGTCAGTCGTAGGTGGTCACATAAAGGTTTTTTATTGTTATTTTGGCACAAGGGATTACAGGGTCTTGCTAAGTTGCTTAGGGCCCCACTAAGTTGCTGCAGTGGCTTTGAGCTTGGGATCCTCCTGTCTTAGCCTTTTAAGCCACTCGGATTAAAGTTTTTGTTCTGTATGTATGGTGCTGGGGATCAGCCCAGGGTCTTGTGCATGCAATGTAGGCATTGTTGTACCACTGAACCACATCCCCAGCCCCAGATGAGGTTTTCTAACAGCCACTTTCTTAGTTATCAAGGTGGAGGGTCTGGAATGACATTTGCAGAATGTCAGCTTGAAGTGGATGGTGGGTCATTATCAGGGGCAGGAGAAACCATGTTAACTGAAGGTTGGTCACTGTGGTGATTTTCCTAGGCAAAGCTTGAAGCAAGTGACCAGGTGTTGGGGTCAGGGTGTTGCTGTGTCCAGGTCTGGAATGCTTCTCCCTTTATGGGTCTCTGGTGAGAAGGTTGCTTCATTCATTATTCTGGTATGTTTGTTAACTTCATGGGCCTGGGTTTTTCTGTTGAGAGTTTGAAGTGCCTAGCATCCATGTGTTTCTGATTTAATTTGATAAGTTCACAGGTGGTCAATTTTAAAGCACAATTTATCATCAGTTTGTACCTATGGTTGTGCTAGGCAGATGGTGGTGGTTTCTTGTACAAACAAGGTATAGAGTCATTCTATATCTCAGCGCTTATACTCAAAATGGAGTAGCTCTGGCAAACTACTGCTTAATAAAATGGAGTCACTCAGGGTTAGGCACAGTCTGAAAACTGCTGTTCTCATCATGGAGTAGCTGAGAGCAGGACACAGCCTGCTCTCAGCACATGTATGGCCTCCAGATAAGTGTGGGCATGCAAAATGAAAGTTATTGCAGTTCTTTTCAGCTTTCAGTATGCTCCTATGAAAAGACAGCTCACACAAGAGCATGTAGAAAGGAAAATAAATGTACTTATAAAATGGTTGGAAGGAGTCAGGTCTTGCCAAATAAAAAGCAGAATTGATACTCAAGTGTGTGTGGGGGGAAAAGTGCAATGTTACCTAGAGTACCAAGCTTGTATTAGTATGTTTGTGGTAGAAAAGCTTTTCTCAGTTTGTCTTATTCACAAAAGCCTTGTCTGCAAACCTTTATAACTTAGATAAAATATTCAAGTTGTGATTTATTTGTGGGTCTGGAGTGAAACAGGGTGCTCATCTGTTTGTTTAGTTTTTCTCAGGTTGCTGGGTGTCTTTGAGGTTTGTCTTCCTGCCTCTGAAATGCAGTGTGTTTGATTATTGTGAATGGCAGGAGAACAAAGTGTCAATTTTGCTTGCATTCTAATACATATAATGTCTCTCCCCAAGAGATGGTTGTCAGATGCCAGGATGCCCAGACTTAAAGTGACAAAGACACTCTCTCTATATATTGCCTGGAATCTTGAATAGCTGCTCATGTGGCCATGTTGTCAATCCTCCAATTCTTTAACTTGCTATTCTATCCAGAATCTCAAACTGGGGGGTCATTTTTGCTGATTTTTGTCCTCTAACCATCTCCTTAACTCTTCTGGTCTGTTTACAGAGCCCTGGTGCAGGCCCTTACTATAGCTTCAAAATCATTTTTTTTCCTCTTGTTGTATGACAGAGGTTCCCTTCATCTCAGATGTGCTATTTGAAGATCTAGAATTTTTGTTTCTTGAGATAGACCTAGAACTTTTGATTCACCAAGCCTAGTGTTGATCCTGTTGGCTGAGAAGTGGTAGGAGAACTTGAGCTCCAGAGGTGGGCAATGCAGGATTCTGATCCTGGGACCACCTATGCCATGGTTTCTTTGTAAAATGGGGATGCTAATGCCAAATCCTCAGGGTAGATTAAAAAATAGTAACAAACCATGTTAGAACAACCCTCCCCCCCCAACCTGGGATTGAACCCAGGTGCATTTGATCACTGAGCTACATCCCCATCTTTTTTTTTTTCTTAAATACCTTTATTAATTTCTGTGTGGTGCTGAGGATCAAACCCAGCACCTCATAAGTGCTAGGCGAGTGCTCTGCTGCTGAGCCCCAACCCCAGCCCTCCCATCCTTTTTTGTTTTGTATTTTGAGACAGAGTAAGTTGCCCAGGCTAGCCCTTGAACCTGTGACTCTCCTGCATTAGCCTCCCGAGTCCCTGGGATTGATTACATGCATGCAGCATTGTACTTGGCAGCATTTACTGTGGGGGGGGTGGGGTTGGAACCCAGGGCTTTGCTATGCTAGGCACTCTACCACTGAGCTCACTCCACTACATCCCTAACCCTTAAGAGCTTTGACTGTGTGTTAGACTGAGCACTTCCGTGCATCGTCTCAGTTA